GGGGGGGGTCTCAGGTTCGGGAGGGTCCCAGGCTGGGGGTCCCGGGGGGTTTTCCCGGGGGGTTTTCCCGGGGGGTTTTCCCGGGGGGGTCCCGCCGGTGCCGCACCCGCGTTCAGCGCCATCGCCGCTGCGGTGACGGCGTCGCGCTCGAGTGACGTCACTGAGAGCGACCGACACAGGAGTTCGATTTGCATAACCCCGCCCTCCCTCGTACCCGATTGGCCGCCTGCGCGCTCCCGTTGCGCTCGCCCCGCCCCCTCGCGGGTGATTTGCATATCGCGCGCGAGTTTCGCACCGGCCGCTCCCATTGGCCGCAGGTTTCTCCCCAAAATTCCCGCTGGGAACCCCCCCAGGACACGCTGGAAACGGATCCCCCCCCCCGAGTCCCGAGTGCCCCCGTTGGTTATTTTCTGATCACTGTCGTTAATATTAACACCCACCATTTTCTGGTTTTCGGGGTTAAACACCCACAGGAAACATCGAAATAAATCCAATTTCCAGCCGAGCCGGTGCTGGGAGGCCCCAAATCCTCCACAACTTAGAAATTAGGGAAATTTAAGGAATAACCCGCGCCAAGGACAGAGGGTGGATTTTTGTCCCCGAGAGCTCCTTTTTTCCCCCCGTTTTGTCCCCAAAACCCCCCCACGCAGGAGCCAACTGCAAAACGGGTTTTACTGGAGAAACTCAGGACGTACAAAGTTCCCCCCCGCTCCCCGCCTCGGGGGGGCCCGCGCCCCCCTCCCCCCGGCCCATTCCCAGGCGCTGCCGAACCATTTCGGGCAGAAAACTCCTCAGGAAGTGGAAAAACTCGTGGAAAAGCGGCGGGGGGGGGTCGGGGATGGGCCGGAGCCGCAGCAGCACTTGGGGGTCCCGGCGCGACCCCCCCCGGCGGGCGCGGGCCTGGAAGCGAAGCAGCGGCTCCGGGGGGGCCCCGGGGGGGTTCCCGGGGGGGTCCCCGGTGTCCCCCCGCACGATGGCCTCGGTCACCGCCCGCTCCAGCGCCAGCGAGTCCTGCCCGGGACCCCCCCCGGGACATCCCCCAGGACCCCCCCCGGGATCCTCGGGACCCCCCCCGGGCCCCCGCCCCCCCCCGGGACACCCCCCAGGCCCCCCCCCGAGCCCCCCCCGGGGGTCCCGGAGCCGGCGGCGGAGGCGGCGGCGGCCCCTCCACACCCGGTGCCAGACGGAGCAGCTCCAGAGGGACGGGGGGAGGAGCGGGGGGGGCCGGGGGCGCTTCCCGGGGGGAATTTCGGGGCCGTTCGGGGCCTCGGGGCGGAGACGCTTCGAGCCCGGGGCCGGTGACGGGCACGGCCCCTCCCGCTCCCCTCGGGAATCTCCCCCCGCCTCCCCCCCGAGGGGACCCCCGGATCCCGGTGATCCCGGCGGATCCTCGGCCGCCCCCGCGTCCCCAAATTCCCCCCGGGAAGGTCCCGTGCCCCCCCCGAGGTGACATTTGGCTCCCGGCGGTGACTCCTCCGCCCGTGACGGACCCGGGGGCGGCTCCTCCCCGTCCTCAGCCCCCCCCGGGTCCCCCCGTTCCCCCCCGGGGTCGCAGCCGCAGCCCAGAACGTCCCGGAGCACGAACCCCACGGCCCCGCAAACCTCCCGGAACCCCCCGGGACCCCCCCCGGGACCCCCGCGGGGCCGCAGCGGGAGGGGGATGGCGAAGCCCCCCCCCGTCCTTCTCGGGGGTCCCCCCCCCGGGCCGGAGGAGCCCCAGGACCCCCCAGGGGCGGCCGGAGCGGCGGGGGCGGTGCCGGAATTCGGGGCCGCGGCAGAATTTGGCGGCCTCGCGGCAGCAGCGGCTGAACCGGGACACGGCCCGGGGGGGGACGTTGGCGGCCACGTTGTGGCTCAGCTCGAAGGGGTCCTGCAGGGTCAGGGGGCCCGCGCGGAGCCCCCCCAGAGCGCCGGGGGGGGGGCCGGGGCAGCGCTCGGCCCTCGCGGGGGGACAGGAGGAGCCGGGGAAGGTCCAACCCCCCGAAAAACGAGAAGAACTCGGCCAGGAGGGAGCCTGGGGGGGGTAAGGGGGGGTCAGATGGACCTGGGACCCCAAAACCGCTCAAATGTTCCCCAAAACACCCCCTAGAACCCCCCAGAACCCCCCTGTAAAACACCCCTGAAAAATGAGAACTCAGCCTTGGAGGGGAAGGGGGGGGTTGTTCAGAAGGTCCTGGGACCCCCAAAACCACCCTGAAACCCAGCTGGTGCCCCCCAAAACCACCCTGACACCCCCAAAACCACCCAGACGTGTCCAGGTACCCCTGAAAATTGACCAGACACCCCCAAAAAACATCCAGAGAGCCCCTGGGACCTCCCAAAAACAGATCCCTAAAACACCCCCAAAACCAGACACCCCTGAACACCCAGACACCCCCTGGG